CCAAACAATAGGAGATTGTGAGAGAGTAGAAATAAAATAATGTTTCTAAAATGAAATTATGATGTCAAGCTGCAATTTGAAAAAGTTAGTAAGAGTAAGTTTTTGAGATATGTATATTGACTAGGGTTGTTAAAATGGGTATTCGGGCTAGGTTCGAGTAGAATTAGAATTGATCCGAGTCTAAGTCAGCTGAACCGAACCCGAGCTGGTTTGTTAAACGGGTCCTAAAGCTAGACACAAATCGGACCCGTGTGGGTACCCGACATGACCCTCGTGTCTTTGAACACTCAAAATCGGGTCAGTGTCTTGAACTCAAACCCAACCCGTTTGGCAAACGGGTTGACCTGAACTCGAAATTTTCTGAGTTTGGTTAGGGTCAAGTTTCGGTCAGGTCAAGTATTGACACCCTTAATATCAACCATGGCCTATATAAGTTATTTCGAGTGATGCTTTGTTAGCTCAACTTACTTGTAAATCAAGGGATAAGGAGGTGTTGAATGATGACTGGTTTGATGATGGCATTTTCTCTGCTTGTGAGGAGGAATGAATGAGAAAGAATTGGAGTCTCAGGATAATTTTGATATAAATATTCTTCAAATTGCTCACGTTAATTTTTTAAAAAAAAGAGTGGGTAAGCATAAAAAACTGAAATCCAAAAAGAATTTTTTTTTTTTTTGGATTAGCTTTTTTCTGCTATTGGAATATGCTTGTGCTTTTGGAAAATGGTTGGGGGGGGGGGGGTTGATTTCTTTCGTTGATTAGTGTGGGTGCTGCTCTCGATTTTATTGGATGGATTGTTTTGGGGAGTTTGTTGGTTTGCCCTTCACAGATTGAGGATCGGACAATGATATAGAGGTTTTTCAATCATCACCTAGACGTTGTGGTTTGTTGGCATTCATTGGTGCTGCTTTTTCTTGCTCTGTTTGGTGGTCTTTTTGAGATGTTCGATTATGCTTTGGCCATTTCATCTGTGTGGGCAATTGCTTGCTTCCTCCTCTTGATGGTCATTGCCTAGCTTCTAGGCGGCGGTAAAAAGCTTCTTGCCAATGGCTGAGCACAGTTGACTTTTACCTTTTCCACTGCTTGTTGTTTCCTCTTTTTTATTTTTTTTATTGTATGTTTAGCTTTTGTCCTTGATAGGGCTTGTATTCGTTTTATTGTTGTTAACGCATAGCCCCTTCGTGAGTTTTATCCAAAAAAAAAATGTCAATCATTGAGAATTGCAGGCTTTGACACTTTGTGTTTTGCTAGGTAACACTCAAAATAGTATTAGTTATATTTTTAACCTCTAAACTTTATTATTTAACTACATACATCTCAACATTTTCAAAATATTAGAAAAATGACACTCTTCCTCATTTTGTTAAATCCCATCAACGAGTTCATGTTTGCAATCCATCGGTCCCAACCTCACACTTGTTCACAGTAGTCTGAAAAGATCTCGGTATTGCATACTACCAAATTACCAAGTTTATCGCCATAATTAATATTTACGAACATATTTGTGATCTTTTTGGGACAGCTAAAGCATTTTATAAAGATGATTGTGAAGCGGTTATAGAGAAATTAACTTTTTAGAAAACTATTATGCATATTATAAATATGTTCCTTCTAAAAAGTCGAACAACTGCTTTACAATGATCACGCATTAAGAAATATGGGCAGAAAAGCAACTTTCTACAATTTTTTTTTATGAAGTAGCAAAAAATAGTAGGTAAATAGAACTCTAGTTGTGATCTAAGAAGTTAAATAATTAAAAACTATCTCAAACGAAGCTTAAATCGGCCCCATTACTTTCGTTCTCATTGTTTGTCTATTCTATATATGGAGAAATTATTATGTGAGGACATCAGATTGTTCGGAGGCAAATCAAAATGTGCCACGTAACCTGATACACACCAAAAAAGTAACGTGATGCATCCTAATTCATCTCCGAACAGCATCCACTGTCCACACATAATAATTTTTCTAATGTATGCCAGTAATATTGTCAAGATATAACAAGGTATGCTTCAATTGGATGAACCATGTCAAGTCTATGAATGATCAAAATAAATCTTTACTAAATGTTTTAGGGGCTTAGGATTTTTATTTAATGTGTATTAAGCACATCAATTTTTTTCAAAATGATATTTATTAAATTTTATAAATATCTAAATAAATCATCAATCAAGTACATATTAAAATTAATAAATAAATTTATTATTGAGTCTTAATCAAGTATTCTAGTTAGCCTTAAATGATCATATTATTGAGTTATAACAAGCTTGGAGTTTTTTTTAACAGATTTGTTTGTATGCTTTAATTGATAGTGTTCATGTATTTTGCAAGTGATAATCAATTTAAAATTAATTTTCACATTTTGCTAAAAACGTTTAGTTATCGTATGTGTTTAATATTAATCTTCTAAAATCTTCTTCTAAACCTTTCTAGAATCTTCCTCTAAAAAATAGGCAACTCCAAAGACTAGCCATCATCATCCAAAGCCATTAACATCACCTCAAATCTTTTCTCAAAGCAATCGATCAAGACTAGATGCATGATTACCAAATCTAGGTTGTTCTCCACCTCTTCCTAAGCCCTTAATCCTTATTAAACTCCACAAAAATAATTTAAATTAAAACTAATTAAGCCCTTAATTAACCCTTAACATCCATTTACTTCATTTAGCCTTTATTAAGCCCTTCACAACTTTCTTAAATAGCCAAATATATAAAATCAACTCATAGAAGCTGAATTTACCGACGGAAAATACGACAGAAACTTACCGGCGCATATGACGCCGGAATTTATCGGTTGGAAGTCGTCGGCACCAATCCGATGTTTTTCGCCGGTAATGCGTCGGTAAGTGCGCCGGAATGTTTTCTAGCGCATTTCATTCGTCGGAAAAAAATTATCGACGCGACCGAAACCGGCGTATGCATTTTCGCCGAAACATGCGCCGGAAACTTATATTTCCGTCGTATTAACCATGTGTTCTGGCGGATTTAGTCCGCCGGTAATGACGGGTTTTCCTATAATGATAAAATCAACTCATAGAAGCTGAAAATAAAGCTGGTGTTAGTTCTCCGATCATCATAGCCCTCTAAAGAATTTACTATTCCACCATATATAAACTCTATTTCACACAAATAGATCTTAAACTAATCTTTTAGCTACCAATTTATCATAAAGTTTCACATCATCATCAAATTTGATATCAAGACAAAGCTTAAAAGGAGCAATTAATTTGGATCAAAACTTTTTTTCTTTTTTTTTTTCATTAAGAGAAGCTTTTCTAGTGGTAGAATTATCTTCAAGTTTATTATTTATTATTAAAATATTGGGGTTGATTAAATTTTTTTATGATAGTTTAAATTTATAATTTTATCTTATAAAAGAAATTTATTGCTAGAAAGCTTATAGAGATAGATGGCAAGAACTTGTAACTATTTAACATGTCTGCTTGACCACATAATAATAAGCATAACATTAGTAAAGATCCTGGCAGCGGCTATGCACAACTTCGGCCTGGGTTGGTCAGCTTTCTAGCTGATTTTTGAAATAATTTTCTCGTACAAATTTTTTTGAATTATAAATTTTTCGAGTAAAAAGTTATTTTAGAAAAAAGTAAGAAAATTATCCCAAATGGCAAAAATTATTACATGCAGAGTATGGACGTAGAGATACATCCAGGCTCCAATCTAATGAGGACTCATGGCTAATACATAGTGTGTATTAGCTGTGTATTAACTATGTATTGGTTTGTATTAGTTATGTATTGACTAATACACACTGTGTACTATAATATACAGCTAGTACATAATATGTACTATAGCACACAATATGTACTATTCAATATAAAACATATTGTGTTGGGAAATGAACGGTGGTTATTTCTAACTCTTTTGTCGATATGCTAGTGAACTTGATCGAGCCCCAAGCGTTGGTGTATCATGTGGGAGATAATTTCGGGATGTATGTGAGGACTCATCTTGATTGGCTGCATTGTATATCTGAACTTGAATCCGATTCTGATTCTTCTTCGGAGTATTGTTGAGGTTCTGATCCCGGTCATGATTTTAAATTGGTTCGTGAAAGGCTTGTTGTCTCTATCGCCTCTCGTAAGAGGTTTCGTGGGAGAGGCAAGAGAGGTAGATAGTCCTTTTATTCCAGTGCTTGTTCCCCTATTGCTTTCTCTGGCTGGTATTTTGGAGTTTTGGTCGATTTTGTGGGTCGTGGGATTATTGGGCTATGATGTGGCTGGGGCTCGTTTTCTCATCGTCATAGCTGATGGCAACCTTTGGTGATGCTTTCTTATTTGGTTGGATCGATGGGAGCGCTTTCTTTGTTAAATTGGATGGCCCGTGCGTGCCTTCGGGGAAGCTGAGAATCTCGGCCAATTTCTGGAACAATTTCAAGGATTTAAAAAAACACACGCGCTAGAACCCAAAAAACAGCGGGTCGGGTCGGCGACTTTTCTTCATGCTACGTGTCGCTAAAATATTGATGGCCGAACGTAGAGGAGCGTACGTTCACCGGACCAAATAGTAGTTCCAATTACTGAGCCCTCACATTGATTTCTCTTTGTATTTTCTATTGTTTTTTTTATTTTTGCTCTTTACCTTTTGTACTTCCTTTTTGGTTCAATATAATTTTGTTTTTGGTTAAAAAAAATAGGTACTATTCAATATATTGTGTATTGCTACGAGTATCCTCGTTTGATTGGAGTTTTCAAAAGAAAAAAAAAAACTACTCTTCAATAAACAACGCGAAAGTGATCCCAATAAAGATCCTGTGAACAGTTATCATCATTTAGTGCTCTTAAGTTACGCTAATTACTACATACAGCTTAGGTGAAACCGATTAAAACCTTCAAAAATCAATTAAATCCATTAACTCAGCATATAACTTAATTACACATTCTAATCTCACTTGCAAACTATATATAAATCCCCATCCAAACTCATCTCTCCAAACAACAAAACACACACACACTTTACCTTCCAAGTACTGCAACAATGGCGAAATCAGTAGCAGCAGCAGCTTATGCCATCCTCTTTCTTGTCACCGTCGGCACGACAATGCCTACAGCCTCTTCATTCCAACTCATCCCTGACATTATAAAATGCTGGAAAGCTGTCGTCGAGGTCGAACACTGTGCGGTAAAGCTTATTCCTTCTTTCCTCACCTTGCACATAAGGCTTACGCAGGATTGCTGCAAGGCTTTCGTGCACATTGAAGAGAGCTGCCTTCCTATCGTCTTCACAGCGCCATTGTTGGGGCCTGGGTTGTCCAACATCACCTCCACCATTTGTGGCATATTGGCTGATCCCCCGTCGCCACCAACGGTGGCTTGAAGAAGTTTTCTAGCTAGCTTTGTTTGCATGGAATGTTAAGAGTTAGGAGTATTCGTGTAAGAAGAGTGATGGTGGGGGCTTTTGGCTTGTTGTTTAGCTAAAAATTAACTAAGGCTTCTTTTGGGACAGTTTTTTTCTGATTCTAAAAACAACTTTTTAGGACAAAATTTACTAAAAAGCTGTATTAAAAATAGTAAAAAAGCCGTCCCAAACAGAGACAGAAGCCTGAGCGTCTTGATCTCTTAGTTTTTATGTTATTCCACTGCTAATAAAGAAAATGCAATTTGCCTTTTTGTCTTTTTTTTTGGAAAATTTTGAGGGCTTAGTCTAATCAATTGATTCAAAAAGGAACTACAAAAGAAAAGGGATTACATCAGATGAGGAGAGAAGTGTAGCTACATGAGTAGCTATCAAAAAAGAGCTATGTTCAACATGAAATAGCCAAAAAAAACCAACTATTCTAAGGATAGAATATACCATAATCAAATAAAATCAAAATAGGCATTCATAAGGCTGAAAGTGAAGGAAATTCAAGGACATAAATCGAAAGAATCCTATTACTTCTATTTTACAATTGTGTGCTTTACGCTCCAAGAAGGAATTTTTTAGAGTGGGAGTTTTTTTTTTTGGGTTGATAAAACTAACAATGAGCTTATGTGATATAAAAGGGGCTATAAGGTCCTTAAAACAGATCGAAAACTTAGTAAATGCTTAAATAGCTATAAGAAAAAATAAAATAAAATTTAAAGAGTCTAAGATCTCTTACTACTTACATAGAAACAAAAGAAAAGATCAGCAAGAAGTCAAACACAAAATAGCCAAATTGAATGATCAATATGAGAGAATATATCAAGTATGGACCAAAGGATGAGATCAAATATACAAAATATCAATGAATTAAAATAGTAGGAAAACCATACATGGAAATAAAAAAATCCATCATCAGATATTCCATATGGAGCAACAGCAAAAAAAAACACTAAGCCAACAACAAAACAATCTCCCAAAAACAACCTAATCACATGCAAAGAAATCACGAAGCAAAATAGGAAACGACCAACCAAACTCTGATCATAAAAGCAGCCTCCCAACCTGTCAGAACATAAAGAAATCCAGAGACGAACCAAGATACCTTTGGAAGAGAGGTCAGAATAGAGAAGCCACCCTGCAGAAAACAAAAACCACCAACAAATCCTCACAACTGCAGACTCCACAACAACGCAAGTCCCATCAAAAAAAAGAAAAATCCCAACACACCAAAAAAGCTATCCAGCAGTTCCCAAAAACTCCCCACCAGCAAACCAACACTGCATAGAATGGCCAAAAATAAAACCCATAACAAACCATTAAAAAAAAATTCAAGGAAATATGATTCAATCTATGATAACTATAGCTAGATTACATTCTTCAATTATTGTAAGATATATATATTATATATCTATGTTCACTTATGGCTTTCTTCCATTAGCATTACTTCTTATTTTATAAGCTTGCTAGACTTATTTGAGAGCTTATTGTATCTTGTAAAGCGCCAAAAAACAAAAAACAAAAACTATGTTCAACTAATAAGTCATACTGAACAACTATGGTCTACACATATTATTAGTTAGTCTAATTTTATTGATTTGCTTCCATTTTTCATTAATTTTCATTAAAATTAGGAGAAGTCGTTTTTTAAGACATATTTGTTGGGTGCTAAATTTATGCATCATTTCATATTATATCATTACAACTTAAGTATTCCAAAAATATTTAAATTAATACGGCTTCAAACGACAGTCCAAAAAAAAGCAAATAAAAATTTTTAAATAATTAAATAATTAATGAAAACTCATCTTAGGATTGTACTATTTTTTTTATCTTAGGATTGTACTACATAATACATATATTACTATATAAAATAGGGGTGTCAATATTTGACACGACCAAAAAATTCGACTTGAACCCGATCGAAAAATTCTCGGTTAAACCCATTTTACAATCGGGTTGGATTCGGGTTGACTCGAAACCCAAACTCAACTTGGGTTAACTCGTAAAACTAGTGTAGATAAAAGCTAAGTCACGTCCACTCTGGCATACCTTGCCGCCGTCCCGTCCCCGCTGACAACGTCTCGTCGAGTGACCGCGTCTAACGCGAGTCACGTGACGACATCGAGTGTCATTGTAGGCCGTGACACCTATGTCGAGTTGCTGCCGGCGTCGACCTAACCGTGTCGTGCAGACAACGTCTCATTGCCTACATATCGTCCTGACAGCTGTCACAGACTCGCCGTCCCGCCAACTTGCCAAGCCGCTTACACCTCACCCGCCTGCATCCCCACAGTCCTAGTTCGCCAAAACTGCGGTCGTTGTCGCAGACTTGCACGTGATCGTTTTTTAATACGAACGTGTCTGCGAGTCGAGTCGGGTCAACCCAACAACCCTCACGGTTCGGTTCCGCGTTGAAATACTTTACCCATTTGCTAAAATGGGCCAGATTTGGATTGGGTCAACTATTGTCAAGACAATTCTAGGTCGGACCCGAACCCGACTCGTGACCCAATTTTAATTCGCCCCCTAATATGAAGTGCCTTTTTTCAAATTAAATTGAAGAAGCTAATTTGCATTACTTATAATTTTGAATTATAAATTAATCATATAAATGTACTATATCTAACCTATTATATGAACCATTTCCTAATTTGATTTACTTAATCACATATTACAATTTGATGCAAGTCAATAAAAGTCTATATCTCCTAATTTAGGTTTCATTTGAGACGACTTTCTCAATGTTTCTTAAAACAGCTTTTAGTGTAATTAAAAATTTAATTGTTGTATTTAAAAGTTGCTTTAATAAATAGTAAAAAAAACGGAAGTCTAAAGGCTTCATTTGAGACGGCATTTTTACTGTTTCTTAAAGCAACTTTTTTAAACAAAATTTTAATTTTTATACTAAAAAATTACTTCAAGAAGAAAAAGCTGTCCCAAACGAATCCTTAATTTAATGAAAGCAAAGTAAATACTTTTGCTCTCTAACTTTTGTTCAATAAAACAACATTTTGATCAACAGCTATTAGATAAATAACGCCAAACTGATCCAAAAAAATACAGTGAATAAAGATATTGTGAACAGTTATTGGCGTTTATGCTCTGAAGTTATCAGACTAATTACTATAGCTTTGCTGCTTTGGCGAAACCGATTAAAACCTTCAGACTCCATTAAAGTTTCATTAAGTTTACATGTAACTTGCACATTCTAATCTCACCTACAAACTATCTATAAATCTCCATTAGCAGCTCATTTCCCTAGCAACAAAACACATACATACTTTGCCCCACGACAAGCTTACACACAGAGCAACAATGGCGGCCAAATCAGCAGCATCAGCAGCTTATGCCATCCTCTTCCTCGTCATCGTCGGCACCGCCATGCCCACAGCCTCATCATTCCAACTCATCCCTGACTTCATAAAATGCTGGAAAGCCATCGTCGAGGTCGAGCACTGTGTGGTAAAGCTTATTCCTTCCTTCCTCACCTTACACATAAGGCTCACTCAGGAATGCTGCAACGCTTTCGTGCACATTGAAGAGAGCTGTCTTCCTGCGGTCTTCACAGCCCCTTTGTTAGGACCTGGATTGTCAAACATCACCTCTACCGTCTGCGGCTTATTCGCTAATCCATCGTCGCCACCAGCACTGGCTTGAACAAGTTTAATTTTCTAGCTTTGGTTTCATGAAAATGTTAAGAGTAGGTGTAGTAATTGTACTGTGAGAGTTCAGTGATGGTGGCTTTTGCCTTATTTGTTTAGCCATAAATCAATTAAGTGTATTGATCTCTTAAGTTTAATGTTATCCTCTTGCTAATAAAGAAAATGTAATTTGGCCTTTTAAATCACAGCTTGGGTCTTACTTCGTTTCATCTTTTTCAAAACTTTGGTGCAAATGGTATGAGCCAGCTCAAGCTCGATGCGATAAATGGCTCGTCAGCCGATATTGATTAGCTAACAAGTCAAGTTTTAGCTAGCATCAAATTGACTCGTTAACTTGTGAGCCGACTCATTTGAACAATAATTACAATATTAATATAGAATATACTTAAAATATATTAGGATTCAAGATTTTAAGTATGAAGTTGTTAAAAATGTTTAAAAATTATATCTCACTTTCTTAATATATTGAGTGATTATTTAATATTTTTCTTATAAATTTTCATTCATTTTATCATTTTATTATAATAATTACTTAAATCATATATAATTATTTTTCATCTTTCATAATAAACGAGCTGGCTCGTTAGTTAGCTCAAACTAGTAAAATATTGCTCGAGCTCAAACTCGATTAATTAATAAATGCTGGAAAGCCATCGTCGAGGTCGAGCACTGTGTGGTAAAGCTTATTCCTTCCTTCCTCACCTTACACATAAGGCTCACTCAGGAATGCTGCAACGCTTTCGTGCACATTGAAGAGAGCTGTCTTCCTGCGGTCTTCACAGCCCCTTTGTTAGGACCTGGATTGTCAAACATCACCTCTACCGTCTGCGGCTTATTCGCTAATCCATCGTCGCCACCAGCACTGGCTTGAACAAGAGTTTTCTTTTCTAGCTTTGGTTTCATGAAAATGTTAAGAGTAGGTGTAGTACATGTGCTGTGAGAGTTCAGTGATGGTGGCTTTTGCCTTATTTGTTTAGCCATAAATCAATTAAGTGTATTGATCTCTTAAGTTTAATGTTATCCTCTTGCTAATAAAGAAAACGCTTGAGTCTTACTTCGTTTCATCTTTTCAAAACTTTGAATGTAAGAGTAGTCATTTGGTGCAAATGGTACTATCTCAACTGATCAATGGAGTTACAAGCTTACTTTATTTTATCTTTATTTGAGTGAGTCTATTGAAGGGGTAAGTGAGTTAAGCCGATTTGTGAGGGGCCTCAGGCTCGACGCGATAAATAGCTCGTGAGCCGATATTGGTTAGCTAAGAAGAAGTCAAGCTTTAGCTAATCCCGACTTTTGACTGGTTAAATTGTGAGTTGGTTCATTTAAAAAATATTAATATAAAATATACTTAAAATATATTAGGATTCAGAATTTTAAGTATGAAGTTTTTAAAAATGTTTAAAAATTATATCTCACTTTCTTGATATATTGAGTGATTATGTAATATTTTTCTTATAATTTTTCATTCTTTTTATCATTTTATTATAATAATTACTTAAATCTTATAAAATTATTTTCTATCTTTCATAATAAACTAGCTGGCTTGTTAGTTAGCTCAAACTCGTAGAATGAAGCTCGAGCTTAAACTCAATTAATTAATCAAGTTCAAGCTCAAGCCAGAGGTGACTCAAACTTGGCTCGACTCATTTACACGCCTAGCCGAGTCTTGCTTGTAATCAAAGTGCTGCTAAAATGCTTACTTCTCCAGTTTTTATTTTCATTTGAACTCAATTCAAATCAAAATTAACTTGATTTTTAAATAAATTTTGATATTTGATTCAAACTAAAATCATCATGTCAATAAATATGTAGGTTTATATATTTATTTCCATGAAATTTTATAATATTAAAAAATATATTGCGTAATTGTTCATATAATGTTATGTCAATAAACATGTAGGTTTTTATATTTATTTCCATGAAATTTTATAATATTAAAAAATATATTGCATAATTGTTCATATAATGTTGGGATTTGGAACCTCCAACTACCATGATTTACAGTTTTGTTATAATTTTGACCATTAATTCAATATATTTAAGAATAGGCAGGATTAACTTTATGAAAATCTGAGGGATTTCAATTTTTTTTTTTTAATTTAAAAATCAAATCATCCATTTGATGTCTAAAATAGCTAACTACAAAATAAACTTGTAATAAAAATAGATCATTCATTTAATAAAAAAACCAATCTATTGAGAAGAACTTATTCATACACGCCTTTAATTTTATTCTATACTTCAATTTTGGGGCAGATTATTGCGTCCGGTGTCCGGATTCGTCCAGACACCAATCCGGTGTCACCACGTCAGCAAAATACACCGTGACCCACTTTATTTAAGTGACGTGGCGTCACCGGATTGGATGTCCGGACATCCGATGACAGGACGCAATAATTCGCCCAATTTTGAACCATTATAATTATCTAATTATTGAATTATATAGTACTTTGGAGCTTATATCTATTGGGTCATTTCTTGTGTGACGGGTCATATTAGGTCTTTATATTATGGGTTTGATAAAAATTATAAAAATGATGGTAGGATTCATGGTAGGTTTGATTATGGTGGAAGCTTTGATTATTTAATTTTTAAAGTCTTTTGATTTCTTTATCAGCAAGAGGATAAAATATTAATTCACTCTCAAAAATGATTGCCTATTATATCATACTAAAGTTCCTTATATTGATAGCATTAATTAAGTCACCTTCTTCCTTCAAATATTACGATCCTCATGTTTGAATATTTGGTCTTGAGAGATTTATTTGCTATAGGTAATTTTAGGCCCTGAAGTGAACGTTGTACGTTTATCTATCAGGCTAATATATGAGTAGTGCGCTACTTACTTTTGAGTAAATGTGTTATAGATTTCTCTATTTTTCCATAAAGACGAAGGCTTCTCTACCTTAGGAATGATGAGAAATTTTAAGATGAGGACTCGGAAAGTGAGTGTAGGCCAATTGATGGTTGAACAAAGATACATCCATTTGAACTACTTTTTCCTTGATGTATATTTATTAATCTTAGCTCATTTACTTTCTGCAGTCACCTATAATATAAATTGTATGTACTCTTGTTGAGTCCAGGAGTATTCGCGACGGTAGAGAAATATAAAGTTTAACGTCTTAATGTTGTATGAAAATCCGGCACGCAATCAGATAAGAGAGAGGGTGCGTCATTCATTAGAGACACGAAGATTTTTTAGGTGGAAAACCCTGAAAAAGGGGAAAAAACCATGGGGCCCAGCCCAGTTTAAATGAATCCACTAGTATTGTAGTTGATTGCAAATGAGGCCCTTCCTTTGGGGAAGGCCTTAGCTTGATGTATTATATGATAATAATACAAAGAATCACTACTTATATGTTTGTTTGGTCGGAAGGATTGTAGTCGGTATGCGAGGTAAGTCGAAAGAACTTTAGTCGGCGGGCGACGGAGCTCGAAAGGACAGTAGTCGGCGGGCGACATAAGTCAGAAGGACCGTAGTCGGCGGGCAACGGAGGTTGGAATGACTGTAGTTGGCAGGCGGCGTAAATCAGAAGGATCGTAGTCGGCGGGCGACGGAGGTTGGAAGGACTGTTGTATGACGACGAAGGTTAGAAGGATGGCATCAGGTAGACATCCAGCAATTGAGAGAAATCCAGTATCAGATAAATGTCTGATGAAAGTCTGACAATAGGCAGAAGTCTGGCATTGGGTAGAAACTTGGTGACCAACAGAGGTCCGGCGTCGGGCAAGAAGTCTGAAGCCAATTGGAGGTTGATGAGAATTATGAATGTTAGATGGTATTCGGGCAGAACTCCGACGTCACTTGGAGGTCGAGCGGAATTCTAGCGTGACTTGGACAGAATTCCGACGGCAGTGGTCGAGGAGGAGTTCTTCCCTCCAATCCTTCTTCTCTTCTGCTTTTTCTCTTGATTGGGCTCTCCTCCCCCTCTCATGAGAAATGAGGGGTCGATTTATAGATATTTTGGAGTGGCATGACTTGTAAATAGGTGAGAGATCAAGGGTAAATAGGAAGTGATTGGATGGACGGCCGATATTGAATCATTTGATCGTGGACCGTTCATCAGTCATTTGAAGGTCTTAATGATACTGGAATTCGACGATCTTGGGCTCGTTGGATTTTTCTTGTCTAGCCGCTAGATTCGACTATAAGCATATCATTTTCAGAAACCATTTGGTAATTCAAATTGTGGTTCGAACCTTCCAATAGCGCTTCGGGTCCTTGATTTCGAGTCATTTGGGCTTGGATTGAGTTGAATTTGGTGTCGTTGGGTTCGTTTTTTTTAGACGCTCAGTTTGACTATAAATTCGCTAAAATCGGAGTTCAGATGATTCCATAATTAATTTTTGAAGTCTCCAACTTGATTTTTGCCTCAAGATTCTTGCTCGATCAAGATAATTTTTCGAGGATATATCAACTTTAATTATAATTATTTGATTCATGTGATGATTTAATCAAGACATTAGTTAGGAATGTACAAATTTTTATTTTATTGTGAAAATCATTATATTGATTAAAATCAGAATAAAAGTCTTTATTTTAAATTTTTAGTGAATCTGAGATTTTGATTTAAAAGGAAATATATTATATATATTTGCTCTCTAACTTCTGTTTAATTACAAAAAAATAGTTTTAAAAACTAAAATTTTAAATTTCAAATTGCTTAATTTATTTTGAGATCTATATATAACACTCTCTTTTTTTTTTTTAATAAAGCCCGTTTATGGGCGGAGTTTTATATCATCAAAATCAAAATTATGAAGTTCTTAAGTGGAATCAACAGCCAACGAATGTTACAAGAGCTACAATCAAAAAGAAAATAAAACTTATACAGCAAATGATTCCTCACTAAATCACAAAATATAAATACTCTAATGGCCGGCAAGAAGTCAAAGCCCAAAAAATAGCAAAAAAGAATCCCAAAGCTTGAATGGTCTTGAATAGGGGTGTAACCGAGTCAAGCCGGCTCGAGCTCGACTCGATAATAGGCTCGACGAGCCGAGCTTATCGAGCTCGTGAGTCGAGCTCGAACACAATTTCGAGCTCGATCGCTTATCGAGCTCGAGCTCGAATAGCCGTTTGATCGACTCGATGGCTCGTCGAGCCGCTCGATTACGGAGCTAGCGGGGGAAAATCGAAATCGTGAGCAGGAAATCCAAATGGACGGAGCTCGCGAGCGGGAAATCGGAAATTCTAAATGACGACGGCGACACAATTTCGTTCAAAACATTGATGGTAGTTGACGCCGGCGGGACGCTTACGTCGTGGCTATTGCGGCGGACGACGACGACGAACCCGAGCTAGGCTTCCTGTTATGCGGACGCTGGCGGCGGAAGCAGACGCGGATCTTGACGGCGGAAATTCTAAATGATGCCAGCCTGACGCTTACGACATGACGAGGGACGACGACGACGAACCCGAACGCGACGACGTGACAACGTAACGACGACGAACCTGAAAGCGAACAACGTGATGACGGATGACATCATCATTGGATGCGACCTTGACATCGAACGCGAAGACAAACTGCGAGTACGCGACGACGACGGACGTCTGCACGGCAGTGAACGGGAGTACGTGACGATATTTTGAGCTCGACGAGCCGCTCGACAGCGAAACGAGTCGAGCTCGAGCTCAGTATCTGAGAGTCAAGCTCGACTCGAACAACCCCTGGCTCGAGCTCGACTCGAACAACCTCTGGCTCAAGCACGACTCGACTCGTTTACACCCCTACTCTTGAAGACCAATCAAGGACTAATTAGAGCTCCTTGAATATTACAAATTAATGTTTTTCATGCTATGGAAGCCATCAAATAAAATATTATTGCTGTATTAAATATTAATTGATTTTCTCTTTTATTTTTTAAGTATCTGATATTCATAATATATAAGAACATTTTAGTTTCAGATCTCTAATAAACTTTATATATCTGAAAGACGTTATCTGCTGAATTGACCACATAATAATATAAATGCATGACATAATAGAACTGATCCCAAAAACAGACTAAATAAACATACTGTGAACAGTTATCAGCATTTAATGCTCTTAAGTTATCAGACCAATTACTATACCTTACATGAAACCGACTAAAACCTTCAGAAGTCCATTAAATCCATTAACACTTTACATGTAACTTACAGCTTCTAATCTCGCCTGTAAACTATATATAACTCTCCTTTCACAACTCATCTTACAAACAAGCTCATACACCGAGCAACAATGGCGAAATCAGTAGCAGTAGCTTATGCCATGCTCTTCCTCGTCGTAGTTGGGACGACAGTGCCAACGGCCTCTTCATTCCAACTCATCCCTGACATTATAAAATGCTGGAAAGCCATCGTCGAGGTCGAACACTGTGTGGTAAAGCTTATTCCTTCCTTCCTCACCTTGCACATAAGGCTCACTCAGGAATGTTGCAGCGCTTTCGTGCACATTGAAGAAAGCTGTCTTCCTGCGGTGTTCACCGCTCCTTTTATAGGACCTGGATTGTCTAACGTCACTTCTAGCGTTTGTGGCTTATTTGCTAATCCTTCGTCGCCACCAGCGTTGGCTTAAAGATGTTTAATTTCTAACTAGCTAGCTTTGTTTTCATGGCTATTTGTATGAGAGTACGTAGAGAGATGATTAGCTAATGATCAATTAACTGTCTTGATCTTTTAAGTTTTTGCTAATAAAGAAAATGCATTTGGACCTTTTGTCTTTGAACCAAATCAGATTTCAAGTGAAACTATTCTTATTGTAATCTATACTTGGAATTAATTATAAGAATTCATTGGATGATTAAATTAAGCAGTTAACTACGCACATAACAACTACGTTCATGTTGGATGATTAAATTAAACAGCTATCGCGAGCTTTAGAATCCAACATCTCCCTAGACAATCTCATTATAAATTTGTATGATGTCTCCCCTGTCTTCTTTCTCATTTTTAAATAAGAATTGTGAATTCTTAACCAGATTTTGAGCATTAGCAAATTTTACAAGGAACAACTTCTTGAATTTGACAAAGGATGTTATTAACCCCAATGGGAGGCATTGGAACCATCTAAGAGGTAATTCCATGAAAATGATGAAGAATATGTGCACTTCAATGCATCATTGATATCCACCAATAAGGTAGCTAACCTAAATACTAAAAGAAAATTGTCAATTACTGGCGGTTTTTTCCAGCGGTTTATTATAAGCCGCTTAGGAAACAAATTGCGGCGGTCATTTTTCGGCTGTTAATTGTTCCGGCGGTTTTCCGGCGGCAAACACAGCTGGTAATTTCCGGTGGCCATAGCGCCGGCGACCTCTGATTAATTACAGGTACGTACCGGCCATTACAAACGCCGGTTACCACCGAGGAAAACGATACGCAAACAAATGAGGAAGGGGCCAATTTTAGGTCAATTTCCGGCGGTTTGGACCACCGGAAAAAAAAAAAAAAGCCTTACGCAAAAACAGAAAACCGGCGGCCTACCCGAAGGTTATTTTACCGCTAGCATTTCCGGCAGTTTATTATTAAACACCGTCGGTTAAACTGTCAGTACTACCGGCGGTTATTTGACCGCCAAAAATCAGCGATAATCGCTGATTTTCCTATAGTGAAAGTAAGCCATGAGGTCAACAAGATTCGTACTTTCCATGTAATATTCAGGGTAAGAGCTTATAACTTCACAGGAGGTTTTGCCTTTGTTATCTATCTAAAGAATGCATTTATCAATTGGGACTTCCTCTTCTTAACTCAATGGGAAGGAGGGAGGAAATTTTCATGGTTAGCAGGGAAGCATGTTTCATCTATTGCCGAGATATGGAGGTTAGCATTATCGCACTTGTTGGCTGACTTAATTCGAAATATTGAATCTGAGGATTCTTTTGGCATTTATCTTCATCCTTTGATTGGTTATAGAAATGCACTCCAAATCTTCCAAGATCATCTTCATGAACCTTTCGATCTTTTATATCTGTATGTTATCAATTTTTCATGACATTCTAGTTCTCCATGTTTCTTATTGCTTCTTAAAGCAGCTTTTTAGTACAAAATTTTAATTTTTATACTAAAAAGCTGTTTTAAGAAGCAATAAAAAAGCCGTTCCATATGAAGCCCAAGTCCTTACAATGGAAACCTGATCTTAGTGTTTAATGAAAATCAATAACAATAATGATAAATAATTTATAATTAATAAGATGATAGAAAAAAAAAAAGAAAATGTTATCCATATAAAGAAACAGCAGCACTGGATACTCAAATAGTGAATTATGCAAGAGAGCTTCAGAGGTGAAAAATAAAAGAGAACATAAACTATAGTTTATTAAAAAAATGAATGATCTCTTAACCATAGATTACAATTTTCAAGCTGTAAAATAAAATAAATGAGTGAACTTTACACCAATTTTTGGCATGAACATTAAAATATTACAAATTGCTTAACAATTTCTAAGAAATTAACCAATTTATCTTTCTATCTTCCATTCTTTCTGAACCAAACTCTGAACTTTCATGTTTATCAATCAACAATTTTCAAATCATGCCTATTCTGGAAGCTGCAATTCCAACTACCAGTGGACTGGTCACACTAAACTCTTTTGATTTCCATGATAGAGAACCAAAAACATAATTCTTTCCAGATTTATCCACTCTGAAATTTACTGTAAAGCTAATCTTCTGGCCATAGCTTCTGAAAACAAGGAACTTTGGAATCACAGTTACATTAACTCCTCTTGGAGGATAAACCACAGCTTCATAAATACTGTTTGATTTTCCTACGTTTGTTACAGTTCTTGTGATTGAAATGCTGTCTTTGAGGTTTGGTACTGTAATGGATGGGTAATTCAGGTTTGAAGCTGAAGAAGCCGGCTTAGAACACTGGCTACTGTCTCCTGTTATTTGCTGCAAGGATTTGTTATCATAGCCAATGGAGCATAGGAAATTCTTGTAATCTGAAGGTTGAGTGTCATATATGAGGCCTGGATTTAGCATTCTTGCAGGATCAGGGAAGCCGGCCCCATAGGCGAAGGGGTTTGCCTTCTTTCCAAGGGGGTCTGCAGTAATGGCTCTGTGATTCTTGTTGAGGATGGTTGCTGTAATTTGATCCTTAAGGTTAGTTTCATGTTGGAAAGATTAGGCATATTTAATAAAGTTTGGGATAGATGTTAAATTGAGATAGATATTTATGTATAGTAATAAGAAATTAAATGTGTATATATTAAGTATAAGAGATACAAATGAGCATTTATTATGAATATGGGAGTATAATATGTAAAATATATGTATTAAACTCTTAATAAGTGTGTTTATATTTTTAAGTATTATATAGATTTTGTTTACTTTGAGATAGAGTTTTTAGCCATATTTATATGGTGGAAAAACTCTTATGCTAATTAGGTGTTGTTATAATTTTTATGAGCCAACATTATAAAATATAGAAGAGTTGCTTGCTATAAAATTTAAGGTGATTGTAGCAACCCAAAGGTACAAAAAACAATTTAAACGAAAAATATGAATTTTTGAATTGTTGATTGAACTAGAGCGCTTCGGCACTATACGTGTAAGCGTTGCCGCAATAGGGTCGAGAGCACTGTGCACCAAAAACTGTCGCCGTGGCACTAGTGTCTCTGTTCTACAGTAAATCTGATCTCTGCATGTGGAGTTGAGTAGGAGCGCTGCAGCGTTAGACCATTAAAAATATTTTTTAATTTTTTTCCCTTAAATCCTCTGCCACCTCTCTCTCACCCCCGCACTTGCATGGCTTGTCCAGGAAGAAATGAAGGAAAAGGGGGGAGAAGTTGTGAGAGGAGGAGAGAAAAAAGTTTGTTTCTGATCATTTTTGTTCATTGTTCTTTTAACGAAAAGTGTTTTAATCGTATATAACTATACTCTTACTTCAGTTTTAAATGTTTTTAATTTCTAAGAATTTATCTGTCCCAAAATTCCCAAAAATGCACTACCTACTAATTTTGTGAGCTTTTACTGCTCAACTTTTGATATGTTATAGATTTAATCATTCTAAATGATTTGATAAAATTTTAATAGATTTTCACATGTTAAATAAGTGTATAGGAATTTCAGAATAAAATGAGTAGGAAAAAGGCATATTGAAAATGGACTGAAATGATATACTGTGATTGGCATGATAGTATTGAAATATGATATAATTGAAGTTATTAATATGTATAGAAATGATACTGACATGATGGAATTGTACTGATTGATCATATTATATCAACGATAATAGTATGGATGATCATACTGATATCTCAACCACTACAGAAAAATAGTCCATTATTGATGGATTTTTAGCGGAATATTTTCCGTAAGAATTTTCATTGGATTTTGATGGAATATATCTGACAGACTCTTACTTCAGTTTTAAATGTTTTTAATTTCTAAGAATTTATCTCTCCCAAAATTCCTAAAAATGCACTACCTACTAATTTTGTGAGCTTTTACTGCTCAACTTTTGATATGTCATAGTTTAATCATTCTAAATGATTTGATAAAATTTTATTAGATTTTCACATGTTAAATAAGTGTATAGGAATTTCAAAATAAAATGAGTAGGAAAAAGGCATATTGAAAATGGACTGAAATGATATACTGTGATTGGCATGATAATATTGAAATATGATATAATTGAAGTTATTAATATGTATAGAAATGATGTACTAACATGATGCAGTTGTACTGATTGATATTATATCGATAATAGTATGGATGATCATACTGATATCTCAACCACTACAGGAAAATAGTCCATTATTGATGGATTTTCAGCGGAATATTTTCAGTAAGAATTTTCAACGGATTTTGATAGAATATATTTGACAGATTTTCTGGCGGATTTTCCTTGCAGCGGTCGTGGGCAGAGCAGAAGATGCGGGCGGGCAGCGGTCACAAGCAGGCTAGCTGGCAGCGACCTCACGCAGGCAGGTAAGTAGCTGCCACGGGCAGTTGGCGGGTGGTAGTGGCATGGTTTTTTTTTTAATTATTCCAACTGTTTTTTTTTTCCAACTTTTTTTTTTTTTTTTTTTTTTTTTTGGCTGAAAATTTTTTCGATGTGGGGTTTATCAGAGAAAAAATTTTGCTAGAAAATTAACCAATTTTTTCCAAAAAAATCTATCTGTAATAAGTGATTTTCCTGTAGTGAACAATAAGTGTACATATGATTGTACTGATACAGATGAGAGTGCGGATGAACATATTGATACCTCAATGATAAGAGTACGAATTATTGTACTGATGCCTCAACGATAAGAATACGGATGATCGTACGTACTAGTATCTCAATGATAAGAGTACGGATGATCATATTGATGCCTCAACGATAAGAATATGAATGATCGTACTAATATCTCAACGGTAAGAGTATGGATGATCGTACTAATATCTTAGCGATAATAGCACGAATGATGGTATTGAGATCTCAACAATAAGAGTATAGATAGTACTAATGATATTTGATATATGATAAGAATATCGCTAGAATTGAGATATTATAGATAATACTACTAGTATTGATATATACATTATAGATATTTGAACACTGATATGATTGACTTATTGACTAGATAAAATAAATGCTATGATTGAGATTGATTGAATAGGTCTGATCGGAGAATATGACTGACCGAGAGTCATAAGTGCATGAACAAGATGTCCTCAAGATACCCTCATCTGAATATTTGATAAAATACTATTTATTCTAATTATTGATTGATTACTCATTACTATTATTGATGCTGCTACTATCAATATTTTTATTGTTGTTGAGATTGTTCACTATTATTAATGTTATAATTGGCACTCATTACTGTTACTGATACAGATCATTGTTACTAACTTCGTTGTTGATGATATAATAGACTGAGATGTGATGATGTATGATGATTAATTGATTGATACAAGTGACTGATACAGATAGCTTATATTGGATTTGTATTGATTTATTTATATAATTTAAGGCATATTATTTCTCTTTTTATTGCATTGATTTCAGTTGTAAGATTTTAGTTACTTGCTGGGCTATTTGGTCATTACATGATTTAGCTGGTTTAAAATAATGAGCCTGCAACTTAAGATTTTGTATGCAGTGACTAATATAGTTTTTATTTCAGTTTTTTTGTTTATGTATTCTTTTATAGTCATAGTGGCTTTTTTATATATTATTTTGGACTAGTTGTAGGATGCAATTATGGGCTATGGTATTGTGAATTATATTTTCCGTTGTTTATTGGCTTTCTTCTTTAATGCAATTAATTAGCTCTTAATGTTGAAATTGGTATGGTAGATAAATGAATAAATCGAATTGATAAGATAATAAAGATTGAAAAGAAAAAGAATAAAAAAATATTCTTTCACTTTAGATCCCAGGGCATGACAGTGATAGTGATTAGAGTTTATATTTTAGCATGAATGAATATCTCACACCCACAAAGAAAAAGAAAGAAATTCCTACACTGAAGGCATATGTTTCTTATGTGAAAAGTTCAAAAAATGAGAAATAAAAAAGCTTAACATAGCAAAAAGTTATTTCATTTATATAAGTCATTCATTATGATGGTATGCTCTCCCTATAATTAGAGAGGACAGGATTTCAATGTAAGAGTTTAGAAAATGTGATACCATCTTTGGCAGCAATGGTCTATGGCACCATTGAAGAATGATGGCTAACTCACATTGATAGCCAAAGAGCAACAAAAGCTGACATCAAGTGTTGGTGTGCCCATAAGTAAGCATAGGATAGAATGGATGAAGGTATTGAGCGTTGGCATTGGTCAAAGGGTGTCAAATGACATGAAATAATGTTCATCAATAGTTAAGTGGGTAAAGAAAACTGAGACATTCTTTCTCCTTGGCAATACCTTGATGATGGTAATCAGTTAATCAATTGTGGATGGCAATTGGTGTGGTCCTTTTGACCAAACTATTGATGAAGTAGAAGAGATATTTGAGATAAAAAAATAATAACGAATGGCAATTCAAGGCACCAAACAGATGCTAGAGCTCTAAAATTCTCCTACAAATCGATCAAAAAATTGTCTGTTGAATATCGATCAAGAATGAACAATATATAAATTTCAAGATGAATGTCTTCATTATTTAAGCCTAGATCTATCAAATTTCTCCCTTTTCATTTCAAAAAGAGGCTGAATGATTCCACCCCTAAGCTGGTGGACCAACTATGTCATAAAACACCCAAGTGGCTAATTGATTGCTAAGGCTTTGTCTGGGATGGCTTTCTTACTGCTTTTTAAAGTAGCTTTCTATTATAAAAAATTTAATTTGTGTGCTAAAAGGCTGCTTTAAGAAGTAGTAAGAAAGTTGTCGCAAATGAAACCTAAATATTTGATTTTAGAATGTAGGATATATCCTAAACGTTTTTTGACACAAGGAGCGCAATTGAGTTGATGAATCAAAATTTGAATGGCTGGATAATATGAATAATTTTAGAAAGGTGTAATACTTAATTTTAACATCACTAAAAAATGCTGATGGGAGACGATCTTAGAATTTTTTCAGTAGGATGAGTGAAGTCTACTGCCCAGATGATTTGCAAAGTAGGAGCATCCAAGAGATGCACTAATTTTGGGAAGTTTAAAATTAGAACTATGGGTTGCCAAAAAATGACAAAGGAATTAGCCATTTTTTAAAGAAAATGTTCTATTTTTCCTTAGAACTATGGGATTCTATAAATCGTTCATAACTTTTTTTGACCTGAGGAGTCATAATGGCATTTGGATTTTTTTCATTTTAAAATTTTCAAGACAAATTAGGTGCAATTAGAGTACATCTTTGTCATTAAAGACATATATGAACCTTCCTCCATGAGAGCATCAGTGGATGGTATTGACCAATAGCCAATTGTAATAGTCCAAACACTTAATCATCAAGATATTATTCTTTTTGACTTAATGGATTCAGGGTTTTATCTCGAGGAGGTTCTTCATCCTAGGATCGCTCCTATACGAGCACGCTTAACAAGATTTTGTCAACTTAATATAACTTCCAATGAGGTCATAAATCCTAGGAGCGCTACTGTACGAACACATTTAATTTTGGAGTTCTTAATGAAATTCTAACAGGTACACCAAAAAGTGTTTCGATCTTTTAAGTGTTTTACTTTATTTTCATAGGGAGTTTCATAACTGCCATTCCAAGCAAGTGACCTGTGCAAGTTGTGTAGGTCACCTGTGAGGAAGGATGTTGTTAGTCATCTCGAACCGATCCAATTCATCCCTGCTCGAGTGGTTCAAGCCCCAAATGATGATGATGATGATGATGATGTATACTTCATGCAACATGAATATGATGATGATGTATACTTCATGCAACATGAACATGGTTGCTTGGTTACATTTGCAAAGCCAAATATGATTCTGATTGAATGACTATATTGAAAAATCCCATTACTTCTGACCCTCAACTTATGAGCTTAAACTTGTAGCCCTAAGTTTACTGTACACGTCATTTGACTAAACATGCTATTTGAAGCAAAATAAATCTGGATTTTTAAATCTATTCCAAGTTCCTGAGATTGATGTATTAAAATTCTGAAGCACCAAAATTCACATAAATTAGCATTATTTAGAAAATGATCATATCGTCAAGTACTCACCTGTTGTCATCACTGCAGACTTGATTGCAGCTGGAGACCAATCAGGATACACAGCTTTGATCAAAGCAACCAATCCAGTTACATGAGGACAAGACATGGAAGTTCCAGAAATGATATTAAACTTCATATTCTTAGCTGCAGGAGACCAAGCTGCTAAGATGTTGAGTCCAGGAGCCATGATATCAGGCTACAAAAACACAATCATAATTTCAGATAAATTGAATCTGTTAAGAAAACATGGCTCATAATTTTAAGCTTTGCTTGCCTTTAAGATCTCTGGTGTGAGGGAATTGGGGCCTTTGGAAGAGAAAGCTGCTACTCTAGGCGCGGATTGTGATTTCAGTACTGTCTTCGCTGGAGAAATAAGTGATTTTGGTCTCCTAAAGTTATTTCAGAGAGCATCAGATTTAAGATGTTTTATAAGAATTGAAGTAGAAAAAATCATTTCAATTGAATTCATCGCTGAAGCTTGATGCTTAACCTTGTTTTATTAAGATAAGAGAGCACTTTATCACCAGCTTCACTTCCAATACTTGCTGCAGGAATGATGAAGGGAATAGCAACACCATCTTCTCTTTCCTCGAGCAGAATCATTCCCACAGCACCAGCTTCCTTGACAACCAAACTCTTCTCAAGCCTTGATTCAGAAGAGCTGCTGGAATGCCGGCAAACGAGAACCTTCCCTCTGGCCTTTGTTGTGTTCAAGGAGCTTTCCAAGCAGTAACTGTATATAATAAGTGTGAGTGGAAGTGTTGAATCAAAGAAGCCGAAAGTTTAGCTTGATAAATCCATCTTCTTTTTCTGCTCTGAGATAGAATGACTGGGAAAAATTGATTTGAAAATGGAGTTTTGAAATTGTTCCATAAAATAGTCTTTCAGGTAAAGCTTCTCAATCTCAATATTCTCATGTCTTAATTAGAAAGAAATAAGCAACACCATTATTCATCAAATAACTTCTCAATCTTTCACCTTGATTGATAAGGAGTGAAGTATCCAGCATTTACTTCTGATGCATCAATAGTTCGAACCGATGAATTCATTTGGTGAGTATTGAGACTTACTCCCTATAAATTATGTTACAGAAAGATTTTAGAACAAGTTGTATTTAAAGAGCTTAGATATTCATTTCATCAAGCAAGATGCAATGTTACCATCAAATTTTCTCCATTCCCAAGACTGATATTAGATACAAATTCTCGGTCGGTCGAGCTTGCAGCCACTGTGAACATCCATGGAGCCAAATTAGTTGCAGAACCTCTAGTACCAGCATTACCAACAGAAGAAACCACTAATATTCCACTTCTCATGGCATGAAATGAACCAATGGAGATTGCATCATTGAAGTAATCTCCTTGAGGTGATTCAGGACCAAGAGATAATGAAATTATGTCTACACCATCCTCAATTGCATCATTAAATGCTGCTAATAAGTCTGCATCATAGCATCCAGAGTCCCAACAAGCCTTGTAGATTGCAATCCTAGCAATTGGAGCTCCTCCTCTTGCTGCTCCTATAGCTAGTCCATTATAATTCATATCATAGACAAAGCGCCCAGCCGCCGTCGAAGCTGTGTGGCTTCCATGTCCTGAACTATCTCTTGGAGATTTGAATTCCATATTTCTACTGGGATTCACTTGTGATTCTTCAACCATTTTTTTCTCTGCCTCATAGCCATCCATATAGTACCTTGCACCTATCACTTTTCTGTCATAGGATAATGATTCTTATGCAGGTAATTCAATATGAAAAGCTGCTTATAAGCAGCTTATTATAACTTCTCAATCAATTATATAACAATAGCAGTCGAATCAACTGAGCCTTGGTTATTAATTTTCATAAAAAAAGCCTGAGAAGCCGCTGCAACAAAAAAAAAAATACAAAAAAAAGTTCAACGAAATGAACTGTAAGTCTGCGATTTTGCAGCTTACTTGTTGCATGTAGAACTTGAGAAAGATTCCCCAGCTTGACATTTTCCTCTCCATCTTGAAGGCACTGGTGGCATCTCTTCATCGTTGAAACTAGGAGATTCTGGCCATATTCCTGAACTTATTATAAGAGTAATGTGTTATTGAAGCCTGATTGCGCACAAAATAGATTTGACATCTATAACATTCTCAACATGAAAGAATAAATAATGAGGATTCGTATACTGATCCTCAATAGTTTGGTTAAAAACTATGAGGATCAGCTCAAGTCTATGAAATCCATTCATTAATAGCATAAACATAAAAGCTATTGATACTTCATAGTTAATCAATTATTTGTTTTCCCATGATATTTGATAGAATTCAAGAACTAGTATTGGACTTGTGTTATTACATTTAAAAAAAAATTAGTCTCTATAATATTCGCATGTACCCAATTTTGTCACAAAGTAATATGTTACCCCATTTTTTTCTCTCAACTGTGCAAAATTAATCCCAAATGATCCCTCAAGTTGCAATTGTAATATAAAATTTATCTCAACTCAGTCTATTGACTATACATTATTGATCCCAATTGAATACTGAAGAGTTTATTTTGAATCAATTTTATATAGTCGAGAAACTTAACTGGAGGACCGTGATTTTCTGGAACTAAATTAATACATACAAATAGTCACTATTTTGGAGCTTACCCCATTATGATATATTTTAAGCTTTTGCATAGTTAAGAGGTAAGAGGTCTGAGGAAGTACATAGGTTACATTATAGAGTATTTTTGAATGCTGGAAGAAAACTTAGAACAAAATGACAGATCATAAAAAAAGGAAAAAATTATTGAACTAAGAGACTTCAGATTCCTTTTACAAAGGGACAACTTGACAACCAAAACTTCCAACTAATTCATTGCAGAAGACTTATCACCTACTTTCAAAACAACCAGAACTGCACATGAGATGCAAGCAATGTAAATTAATATATACTAAAAGTAGGAATTTTTTTTTTTAATCACGAATCTATTATCTATGCTATAAATTCTACCATATCAGGCATAAATATTTATTCCATATAATTATTAAAGAACTAATGAAGAAATGTTTAAAATCATATCAGTTTTGATGAGAACCTGTATCAATGAATCCAATTATCACATTTTCTTGGTTTTTTGTAGAGAAGCCTGAAATTTCTTTCTCAGCATCCATATTTAGTCCCATGAAATCCCATGAATGAGTTGTGTGCAGAGTTCTCTTTTGATTTGGGAACACTGAAACAACTTCTGGCATCTCTGAATCATCAGATTAGTGAAGAAGAATCAGCTATTATCATTAGTTTTCTCTTTAAACAAGTGTGGAACTATTAATTACCAGCTAGTTTCAATGCCTGTTCTTCAGTTAACTTCGCAGCAAATCCACTAAAGCCATTGTTATAACTGTAAACATGAGAAGCTATTGCTTTCTCCAAGCTGTTGGATTCAATTCTAAACATCTCATTATAAAATTCTTAAGAAAATTGCATAAGAAACATCTCTGAGATCGAATAATTTAGATATGAAGTTACCATCCTCCATGGATTGGAGTGAGAATTTGATAGTTCTGACTTAAGAACTCATCAGAACTGTAATTTTTTTTACTTCCCATATATACCACATAAACCTGGCAAAAAAATAGAAGAATTTCAAACATGAAAAAGAAAATGCAACAAACCGCAAAAATTCATACTCACCTGAGAAGAAAAACATGATTTTATTCGCGAAAATGTTAGAGATAAGAAGAAGATAAAGACTGTAATACCAAAATGAGCCATGTTACAGAAAGAGAGAGGAAGGGAGAGAGAGGGGAGGGAGGGGACTTAGGAAATGAAGGCTGTTATGATCTTTTAAGTGACTCTTTGAAAAGGAAAACGTGAAGGTGAAGTGAGCTTCAAAAATGGAGAAGGCTGTTATGGTTTTTTTTTAAGTATCTTTCCCACAAATTCGGTTAAAGGAAGAGAAAACGTGAAGGGGAAGTGTTAAATGATGATGAATTATAGCGTAAGTTAATAACTCACCCCTTCTTCTTCACTTATCAGACTTATTTAATAAAAACGGTCCATTTAAGATAAATGCTGTAACTTTACACATTATGGAATTTCATCAAATTCATATAAAATTTAATAAATGAGATTCATAAGGCATGTGGAAGGTTTGCCATATTTATTTATTTTTTTTTAATTTAATTTACATCATTCGAACTTAAGGCTGAGGAAACTGAATTAAATGAGCAGATGTGGCTTCACTTGAAATTAAATGTTTTGATGACTTTCATTTTGAATTTGATTCAAAATCATAAAATTTTAAATTGATTTATGATGAATTTTTTGTCAGCTTTTATATTGATATCTCATCAAAATTTTATTTTGATCGGGCACAAATCTCGAGGCAAAATCAAGTTGGAAACTTTCTAAATTAAATGTGGGACCATCTGACTCCTATTTCAGCAAACTCATTGTCAAACTGAACGTCTGAAAAATACGAACCCAACGACACCAAATTCGACTCAATCTGAGCCCAAATGAGTCCAAATCGAAGACTTGAAGCGCACTTGCAAAGTTAAAACCATAAATTGGATGACCAAATGATTTCCAAATGTGACATGCTTATAGTCGAATTGAGCGGCTCAACGAGACAGATCCAACGAGCCCAAGACCGTCACATTCTGATATCACTAAGACATTCAAATGTCCATTAAACAATCCACAATCAAGGGGATCAACATCAGCCTTCCATTCAAACCACTCTCATCTTACCTTTGATCTTCCTCCTATTTACTAGCCATATGACTCTCAGAAACTATAAATAGACATCTTATTCCTCATGGAAGGAGACCCAAGCAATGAAGAGAATGAAGAGACAGAAACTAGAGTTCTTTTGCCACCAAACTCCTCGACCACAGTTGAACTTTCGCCCAGCCACCAATTGGCGCCGGAATTCCGCCCAGCCACCGATTGACGCTGAAATTTTTCCCTTTCATCGACTGATGCTGGACTTTAGCCCGGCCACCGACTAACGCCGGATTTCCGCCTGGTTACCAACTCACGCCATATTTTCACCTGACCATCGAACGTCGCCATATTTTCGTTCGATCTTTGCTCGTCATTAGATTTTAACCTAACGGTTGATTGTTGTAATTTGATCGTCCTCAATAGAACGAATCAGTTGCAATCTATTCAAACACTAGTGGAATCATTTCAACTGAGTGTGGCCCTGTTGTTTTCCCCTTTTACAGGATTTTCCACATAAAAAATCTTGTATTTCTGTTTGTGTGCTGGACAACCGTATAACGCAGAGACGAAAAATTCTAACTCTATCGCCGCATATATTCTAGCCCGCAACATATATATAATCATAATGAATCATATAATTATTTGATTTATTATGAGATAAGTGTAATATATAAAAAATTAATATATTTTTCCAAGTAAATTTGATAAATTTGAAATCTCTATCTTGATAAAAAAAATTATTTGGAATATCCCTAATTATGTTTTCTCGTTGCTTTCAAAAAGTTTATGTACTCTGAAGCTGCTCTTTACAAAAATATTTAAAAATTTTAATTTCTCCACAACAGTTTTACAATCATTTTTATAAAATGCTATAGCAATTCAAACATATCCTAAGTAGGGAGAAATTATTCAGTGCAAACACCGGACGGTCGAGGGACCAACCAGAACACGCCACATCATTCGGTACACAATGGTATTGAGAACCGATAACGAGCAAAAAAAGGGATGTGACGCGTTTTAGTTAATTTCTGGACGCCGTCCGACGTCCGCATAGAATAAGTTTTCGTAAGTTGGTCGGCTTCATGTTGAGCGAAGGTTTAAGTGATTTTTAATATTTTTTTTTAATTTGATTACTTTGAACTATTCCACTCCAACAAGAGAAATATAATAATTGCTCATCAATTGGTGATTTGTGATGCTTGCTCTATGAACCAATTCGAAGAAGAAAGTTATAAAATTAAAAGAAAATTAAGAAATATCTGCGAAAGATTAGAGATATATATAATGGATTTTGTTTGCTAAAACTAATATAGGTAAATGGTGATTGACTGCCACTTCTGGTCCATGCAATTAATGCAAAACTGGATTTTTATGAGTTGGGGACACCACGGTTTCTATTTATTGAACCTCTTTTGTCTACAGGCTCATGTGGCCATGCTGGAACTTCCCATTCTATATGATTAGGTGCTCAATGGATCTGAATGGCTACAGACTGCAGTATAGTTTAGCCTCTCTTTTTTTTTTTTTTTTTTTTAACTCACATAGGGGCTTACGCATTAAATAAAATAAAACAGTTACAAGTTCTTTAAGGATCAAGAGCTTTCTAAAAATGCATCATTTGAAGCAAAATCTTATGAGCCTATAATCCAACTAATCCAACAAAGCAACAAACAAAAGAAAAGCTAGAGAGCACTTAGAGAAGTCAAAAGTAGCTCAACTCAGGAGAGAAGAGACAACCAGAGACTGCCAGTGGAAGAGCAGCAACACAACAGGAGAGATAGTAAAATCTGCACGAGCAACTGAACAAAAACTCGTAGCCAAGAAAAAGCCACCAACATCAAATTCCCTGCAAGTAGCTAGAAACACATAATGCAATAGAATAATTAGGAAAACAACAGCATGGACAAAGCCAAGAAATCCACAACAACAACCTCCAATCACAACAAACTAAATCATCCAAATACAGGCAAAGGAAAGGGTTCAAACAGACAATCGTAGAAACAACTAGCAGCAACCCATTATAACCACAACCAACACCCCAACAAATCAATGCAAACATAAAAATGCAACCACATAAGACAAATCATCATTAGCAACAGAATTTCGAAGGAGTTTTAGATCTTTTAGGCCTTCCTTCAGAAATTGCACCACATTTTTATTTTTCCTTTTTCTATTTTTCTTACCAACAACTTTTGTAAAATCATCACTACCAACTTGCACCACATTGAATAGTTATTTTACTAAGACCATTGTTTGTGTGATCTAGGTTTCATTCGAAACATCTTTCTTATTGTTTTGTTTTTTAAATCATAGCGAACGTTTTTATTTGGCCATTATTTTTTTAGCGCTTTCAAAAAAGTTACTTTCTTCATAGCAGTTCTACAATCACCTTTATAAAAATAACTAAAGTAGTCCCAAACGAAACCTTAATTATGTAATTATGGATCAAATTTAATCAACACAGATGAAACTGAGCTAAATTATTTTTTATTCAAATATGTCCGAATTCGGGATCCATCATCTAATCTTCAAACTAAAGACATTTTATTTTGATATTTGAATAAATTTAAATAAAGTTTTTAAAACTGAAAATATAAACAAACAAGTTTGAACATTAGGCAATTTGTTCATTTATATTCAGGACTATGTATATTTCTTACTTAATAAGTAGTTCATTAAGAGCTCTATAAAATACTCATTTACTATAAATTTACTTTTATATTTAGTATTAGCAACAAGTTCAATCTTTAAAAAAAATTTGACACCTCATTCTAATATAATGATTTTTTTGCATAAATATTACTCACACAAATTAGAATTCCGATATTATATTCTTGGAAAAAAAATGAAAATTTATCAAATTAAATGTTTACAGAATCCTCAACTTAGACTTCTTTTGGGACGGCTTTCTTATTGCTTTTTAAAGCAAATTTTTAGTAAAAAACTTATTAAACAAAAAAAAAATATGTACTAAAAAACTGCTTCATAAAGCAGTAAGAAAGTCGTCCCAAACGAAGCCTTAGCCTTTATTTGAGACAATTTTTTTATTGTTTTCTAAAGCAGAATTCTAGTATAAAATTTTTTTGTTTAAAAATTTTTTGTACTAAAAAAATGTTTTAAGAAGCAGTAAGAAAGTTATTCCAAATGACGGCTTTTTCATTATTTTATTTTTCATATTGCAGCCACAATTTTTATTTGATTATTATTTTTTGTGTTGCTTTTAAAAAGTTTTATATGAGGAATTTATTTCTTATAACAACTTTTTAAAAAAAATATTTTTCCTAAAATAATTTTTTAATCATCATTAGAAAAAGTTATATTCTTTTCAAAAAATCCTAAATTAAATAAAAAAAAAAAAGCTGCCACGTCACCGCTTTCACGTGTTCACCAAAGACCAATCATAGGATTCGGTTTGTTCTAACATATATTTCCCATTATTATTATGGAGGGCCACCTTACAAGTATGTGACATTTAAAAAATAATAATGAATAATTTCAGAATTTGCCAGCGTAGTTTGACGCTGCAGTAACGATTTATATATTTTGTAGACCCTCCGGCTCCGGATAGCCTCACGATATAAGCAAAACATCTCAATGAAATAAATAAGAAAAATAAAAATACAGTGAAAAAGTAAAGAATATCAAGGTTTAACTTGAAAAAAATTGAAATCGATAAAGAAATCACGGAGCTTCACCACATCAAGAAATTTACTATAAAAATTGAGAGAAATAAGTACAGATCTCTCTTCTCTCTCACTTTGTGCTTGCTTCTCTCATCTCTTGCATCGTTCTCCCACACAAAACAAAAGAAAATGACAAGTTAATAACACCAAGGGACGTCACCTTTGAAAGAAAAGAAAAAGAGAACTGTTCAGTCCGCCTCAAAGCGCTACAGCTCCAGTTTGAAGCACTACGAGATTCAAATCATTGATCCTGATCTTTCTGACGATGCTGAAATGTTCAAACCCATGCTGCGCGTCGAATTTAGAACTTTTCAGCACCACGGTACTCGGGTACCCAAACCCGAGGGCGCTCTGGTCACAACGCCTGGGCATTATACAAAGAAGAATATTTTGGGTTCGGATGAAGATTCCCTGCACCCCCTAAGCGAACACGAGAAATTAACTTGAGGTCCGAGTCAACAGTATAATCAATTAATCAACACAATCAAATTACACACAAAACTAATACTGGCTCTTGTTTTGCTCTTATTTTCCTTTAGATTTTTAAGTTATGGTTGTTATTGAATTTGATCCTTCTAGGTTTTGATCCTCAAGATTTTATTTTAGAGGCTTTTACTATAATTTCTTTTTTCCATAATTAATATATGGGCTATTCCTTATGCTCATAGGTAAATTACTAAATTTGTGTAATGATTGTTGCGTATTGGAAGTGGATGGTTCATGTGGACCGGTGGGGCTATGATGTGATAACTATAATTTTGGATTGTGTGCATATGTATGCATTCACATTAGTTGTTTGTGGCTCATTCGGGATTTGATTTTAGTTTCATCCTTATCAAAAAAGAAATTTACATATGTACCATTAAATTATTATTATTTGTATATATGCAATATCTAAATTTTAATTTTTTACATATAAAAGTATATATGTAAGAAAATGAATGTTTTATCTTAATTATGTTAATATTATTTATATTTTTATTGCTTTTTTAAGAAGTAGTATAAAATTCATCTCAAACAAAGCCTCAAGACAGATTTTTTATTGAACAACTTTTTAATACAAAAATTAAAATTTGTGTACTAAGAAGCAGTAAAAAAGCCTTTGGGACGGTTTTATTACTATTTTTTGAAATAATTTTTTCAGTATACAAATTTCTTAAATTGAAAATTTTTATCCTAAAAATTGTTTTAAAAAGAAATAAAAAAAAACTATCACAGACAGCCTTAAAAAATTGTTTCATTCTCATTTTTTCATATTTTTAGTTATGAATGGAGTTTTTATAGATATTTTTTTGGTAATTAAAGAAATTGTTTTACTTGAAGTAGCACCTAAGTTAATCTAATCTTTCATATAAATGAATGAGTTGATTTTTTACATTAATTTAATTTATTTTTAAAAACAAAATAGCAAATCAAACATATTTCTTAAAACAAAATAAAATGAAATATTAAATGATTCTAAAAGGCACTAATTATTTCTAATTAATTATCATTGATTAATTAAAAGTTTTATTTGTTAAAAGTATGACTAATCTTTGTGATTAAGCATAATCAAATAGTCAATCTTAAATAAATAATGCTATTAAACTTTCAACCACACAACAAATAGTACATTTTTATTATAATAAGACAATGGTTAAAAATATTATTTTTAATCATAAATTTGAGAGAATTATTATTTCCTTTATAATATGCGATTAGTAGTAGACTTATATTGAAGATTTGAAGAATCATAATTTGTCTTGTTTTCATTCATGTAGAGTGCATCTAAAGGAAGCATTGGAGTTCACTCCAAGTAACAAGCCAAGCTAATGCATAGATACACTATAACTCTATGCTCTTAATACCCCAAGTTATTGGAGCAAAATTATTTCCCCACACATAATTCAAACTTGTAGTTGTATATATCATTAAAGCTTCATATAGGATGATCTTTTTAATGTTTTTTTAAAGCAAAATTTTAGTAAAAAATAATTTTTTTGTAATAAAAAACTATTTTAAAAAGTAGCAAGAAAGCTATACCAAACGAGGCATGAAATGTATTTATAGGGGAATAGAAGTAGTAGAATAGAAATATGGAGCTACCCCTGATTGGAGCTTGAGTAATTAATCTAGTTCAAGTTCAAGCTCAATCATAATTCAATAAGAATTTGTTTAGTATAACTTTCTCATTGCTTTGCTGTTATTATTTTTTAATTGCTTTCAAAAATTTATGTGATAAAAAACTATTTTTTATAACCGGAGTACCTGAGTGCCTTTTATCACATCAATTTCACTAGTTTTTATAAAATATTGTAGCTGTCCCGAATAAAATCTAAGATTACATTGACTTATGAGTCAACTCATTTTATTATAAAAAGAAGAAAAAAATTCTTTTTAACATAAAGAAGTAAGATGAATTTTAAATATTTTAAATAAATTTGAGCATAAATTCTTGAATTTTAAACTAATTTGTCATCGCAAACTGAAAGTAGTGGAAGGTAAGGGAAAATAGGAAAATATTTGAAGAGTAACGGTCTATTTTTTTATCTGAGGGTGGTGGAGAGTGGGTGAGATATTCCATAATTTTTTTGTAAAAATAATTGTAAAATTATTGTGAACAACATAATTTATCACAAAGCTATTATAAAAAATAACTTTCTAGCAAAAAATATTGTTGAAAGCAGTGAAAAATAATAGCTAAATAAAAATTATGATTACCATCTAAAAAACAAAGTAATAAAAAAATGTCTCAAACTAGCTATAAACATAAGTGATTAACCCTCAATCTCAAGAGAAATTGTTCTGTTCGGACACCCAACATTATCCGGAGCCCAATCAAAATGCACCACATCATTTTTTGCTCGGTACCATACTAGGTAATGTGGCACGTTCTGATTGACCTCCGGACCGTCCGATATCCGCACAAAATAATTTCTCCAATCTCAGCCACAAATACAGCAGCCAAATAGTGTGCTTTGCCTCCTAAAAAATAATAATACCTTGCTAAGCATGAAATAAAATTCTCATTACTCTCATGTTTTTAATTCCCAAAAAAAAAATAAGATTTATATGTTAGAAAAACAAAACAGCTCAATAATAAACTGGGCCTTTGGTTGTTACTGTTACTGTACAAGTTCTTTACACAGCAAAAAACAGAAAAAGAAAAAAAAATTCCTGACAAGATAGAATGCATTGCAGTCCTTGGGAGTTATTAAGCTTACAATGATTTAAGTAGAGAGATAACATTGTTGTGCAGAGGGTCTGATATGAAGTCGAGGTAATTCTGGAGAGGGCCCTTTCCAGTGAGAGCAGCTTGAAGATAGAAACCTAACCAAGCAACCATTGCCAGGCGGCCATTTTTTATCTCCTTGACCTTGAGGTCTTCAAAAGAGGCTGGATCTTTAGAAAGGCCAAGGGGATCAAAGAGGGACCCTCCAGGATAGTTTATGTCTCCTGGAAGATAGATGCCAAGCGGTTCCAATGCTTCTATTCCACAGTATCTGGCATACTCTGGCCCAACCTAGTAAATACATGGAGAAAATCTTTCATGAATTTTAAAAGTAATTATAATCTTAAGCATCTTCTTTGCTCTTAAATTTGCTACAACGAAGACAACAACAGCAACATCGAGTCTTTGTCCTACTACGTGGGATCAGCTACATGAATCTTTTTTAGCTAGCGTGTCTTATTAAGAGTCAAATTCTTATTTAATATAATAAAAAAAGTCATTTCTAATACTTTCTAATTAATAATTTTTAGA